CCACTCTGTCCTAATCCTGCGCCGCCCACAGTTGCCCGTAAAGCGCATCACACGTCATCTCAGAGAGAGGCGGGGGGGGGGGGGGGGGGGGGGGAGGCGTGCGTCTGCCGCCCCGTGAGCATATCTGGAGTGGTCAGTGTGTTTGTGGTGTCTCCGACCACACAAGTCCTTTCCCTCTCAAGGGGGAGGAGCGCAGGCGTTTGGGATTTCACCGTATTTCGTTTGTGTTCCCATTTGACCAGTGGCTCAGCTCCGTGGCTGATGAAAGCGACTTCAGAAACTTAGTTCAGGGCTGGGAAGGTGGCTCAGTGGTACAGTGCTTGCCTCCCAGGCATCAGGCTCTGGGTTCGATTCCTCAGCACCACCTAAGTAGAAAACCCCCAAAGTGGCGCTGTGGCCCAAGTGGTAGAGCGCTCGCCTTGAGCTGAAGAGCTGAGGGACAGCGCCCAGGCCCAGAGTTCAAGCCCCATAACCAACAAAAAAAAAAGAAAAGAAAAGAAACTTGGTTCATGTACCATATGTATTGTGGAAGATGGGCAGTCACATTGTTCTTACCAAATTGGAGAGGCTGGCTCTGCTGGGGAATCCCATGGCCGGGAATCCTGAGGCCTGAGGCTTCTCCAACCAGCTGCAGGGACCCAAATGGCCTCCCCCTCCCTCTTTCCCCCACTATAACCTTAGGGCTTATTCATTCAAAGATAGGGCCCATTTATGTAAACCGAGTGGGAGCGGTTCTTTTCTGATGCAAACTACGCATAAATAGTGACATGGGGCCTTTATTTACTGACATCCCTCTCTGCTTAGGGGCCTCCAGGTCAGGGGAAAGTTCCCTCACACACAGACCCCCGCGGGGAGCCTGGTTTGTTGAGCGATTTGTTCCTTTAACACAGCAGAAAATTGGGGCCTCTCTGCTTCCAAACAACTCCCCACCCCCACCCCACCCCCAGGGCTCTGGGGAAGGGGTTGGAGAGGGAAGGGGAGATGCTGTGGGAAGGCCCCCCGGGCCTCGCCTCCTGTGTTCTGTGCGAGAAGTTGCTGGAGCCAGGCAAAGCGCAAAGGTGGCCCTTGGATGGATTGGCTTTGGTTTGGGACCTACCCTACCCGGCAGGGTGTGATTGGGAGTGAGGGATGGGGGGGGGGGTTCCTAGGTCTGGTGGGGCAAGCAGGGCGCCCCGAAGTCAAGGCGGTAAAAGGTGCACCTTCCGTGCTCCTTAAGCCCTGTGCACCCTGTGAGCCCCAGGCCTCACGTACC